TCTTGGCTCAGAAAATCCTGAGCATTAACATTGTTAGCCAGGAAGTTTGGTCCAACCAAGCCTTGTGGAACAGTCGGATTGGCCAAGCATTGTTGCTTGGCCCAACGGCTCTCTTCGAGTCGGTCCAACATATGACTTTTTTCACACCCATTTCGGTTACTAACCGCATCCCGGCTAGTAAGGCTTCATATTCCGCTTGGTTATTGGATGCTCGAAAGCCGAAACGAAGGGACTGCTCAACTGTGATGCCTGAAGGACTAGCTAGAATTATTCCGAGCGTAGCACACCTCTAATCCTTTCCAAACCAATTGCCAACCTCGACATGATTGTGTATTTGGCCGTCAGTCTTCCCTCCCGAGATGTCTCTCGGCCAAGGATGTGGCTTACATTATTTACAAGTCTTCCCTCCCGAGATGGGTCCCGCCCCACCACCTTGGGGAGCCGATTGATTTCCAGCAACGCGCACGCCGACCGGAGTCTTATTTGCTCTGATCATTACTGAGCCGACATGTAAATACTTGGGTTGTTGGGTGTCTTCGGCCGTTGACCGGGCCGACAGGCATTTGTTCGGTTATCTAAGCTCTATCGGCATCCGGCCGAGCCGATACGTAGCGCATGGGGACGCATCATGGTGCTATTCTTATCGTCCGTCAGCCGAGCCGAGGTTGCTAGCAAACTCTTCTCTGCCTTCGGCTGTATGCCGAGCCGATGTTATCGTGGAGGTTCGTGGGGGTGGTTTTCAGTCCGCGTGGGTGTCTAACAGAACGACACGTGTTGGTCCACGTGACCGATAAGATAAGTACCTCCCCCCTCTGAAGTATCCACCGGAAGCTCCCGTTCGGCCCATCACCACCTAGAAGACTACGAGTGTGCCCTCAGACAGGTACAATAGCTAATTTGTATGGACACAAGCTAGGTTGAAAAGCATAGTGTGATGTTAGGATTCATATACATGGTACGGGATTCTAGTGTAGGGTTTATAATGCCTTAGGCTATCCAACTACAATGGCTAACTCTTATGGTGTGGTTCTCCCAAGGTACTTGACTTGAGTAGTATTTTACCATAATATAAACAGTTAAGTTTCAAATGAAACATAATTTTAATTTTATAAATATATAACTTCTTTTACTTTTACATAACTTTTGGTCGACATTACCTCAAGTAATCACCATTTAGTAGTGACATGAGTCATACATAATTGTCATGTACTAACAATCATTTTTTTGTTGTTGTCTTAGATATCCTCTATCAAATTAAAGCTAGAAACTAACCTCTAGGTACAAATATGTATTTAAGGGATTGTTCTCTTTTAACATATGTTCTTCTTACTTCTTATGTTTAGTTCTACATTAAAAGATAGGGATGAGAGATGTTATTGTTGTCCAGCATACAAAAGACATTATTTCTAAATTGGAAATTAAAGAAAGGGAGAAGAATGTACTCTTCTAATTCTTGTATAAGAAAACACAATCAACTTTATTTTTTTATACTCTCTTTTCTTTACCAGAAAAAAAAAAAAAAACACTTCTCTTTACTTTAAGGATATTTATATCATTGTATATACAAGTTTATTTGTCTCCTCTAACTTTCTATACAACCAAACAAGTTTTATTTCTTAAAAAAAATTAAATATGATTTCATTTTTAATTATTTTTTTTGTTTGGTTTATCTTCTCTAAATCATTTTTTTTTAAATTTACATGAATCCAATTTAATACTAAGAAATTTATAGTAACTCATACATTTTAATCAACCAAAATAAATTCCATAAATCATATGGTTCTTGAAAGAAATAAAGTGTTAAGAATTTTTCATTTTTATAGTCAATAAACATGCCAAATCATTACAACAAAAAAGAAATGTAACTAGGAAGTACTTTTCTTAAAAGAATACTTTTAAAGCTATAATTTTATTGCAAGTCCTTAATTAAAATAAAAACCAATAGCAAACATGCATTTAATTATTTTTATAATACAAAACTACAATGTAATTAGGGAATTATTGTTGGAATAAAAATAAAGTCTCACATCAGTATAATAAGAGGAGAAATAACAATTTATAAAGTATACACATACTCCATTAACAAAAGGTTTTTTGATTGATGATCAAAAGCAAAATCATAAGGTGTAAACCAAAAATGGATAAATATCAAACCAATGTGAAGATGTGTGCAAATACCCCAATACACTAAAAAAAGATATAATGTTCCTCTTAATAAATATATCCCACCAAAAAATAAGTACAAAATATAACTCAAAAGTGGTATCAGAACTGCTGGTTGAATTTGTAACATCCCTCAAATTTGACATCTTAATTAATGGCTACATTTCATGACACTTCACATAACTCCTATTTGGTTAAAACTCTTCATCGATCAGAATCTTTCATAGGTAGTCCTTTTTAAGATGTTTGGACGTCTTTAAGATCATTGATTAATCCCACAAACCAACACAAATTTTTTCTTCTACTTTGTCCTTACTCACACACTTTCTTGGATTTTCAAAATGTCACTCATCCCTAAATCGCCCTTCACCAATCAAAACCCACCATTGGCATCCCTTTTTGAGATGCTCAGTCGCCTTTAAGATCATTGACTATCTCTACAAACCAACACAATACTTTTCAATATGCTTTGTCCTTGCTCACACACTTCATAGGAAACTTCCCAAAAGATTATCCAAGATGCTTAACTATGGAGTTCTTAAGTGATGAGTTATTGAAAAGTACATGTTGGTATATGTAGTATGAATTAATTCCCTTAAGTCATCCTCGATCATACAATCTCTCACATTTACAGTCTCTAAATTCCTTTCATTTTATGCGTCTGAGATGTTACAAGCCCATCAATTTTTGTTGGGTTCGCCCTCGAACCACATCATACTAGGAGAAGACATGCTCTAATATCATATGTAATACTCCTCAAATTTGACATCTCAATGGATGCATTCTACAATATTTCACACAGTGACATTTATACAACTCTTTTTATACAACTCTTTATTGGTCTGAATCCTCCATTGATCAGAACCATTCGTAGGTATCCCTTTTTAAGATATCCAATTGCCTTTAGGATCATTGATTATCCCCATAAACCAACACAAAATTTTTTAGTGTTCTTTGTCTTCACTGATACACTTTTTAGGAAACTTTCCAAAAGGTCACACATCCTTAAATCACTTCAAGTCAAGCATATACTTAATTATAAAGCTCTTAAGTGATAAGCTACTAAAAATTATATGCATTTTTTTAGTAAAGGTAGTACAAATTAAGTTTCTTAAGTCATCCTCAATCATACAATCTTACTTATGTATAATCTCTAGATCTATTTCATTCAGGATTGTCTGAAATGTTACAAGATTTGGTGACAATCAATAACTCATAACTCATACATACAAACAATAACAAAAATACAGTGTAATGCAATATAAATTTTGTTGAATGAGAGGTTAGATTCTTTATTTGAGGGGATGATTGTTGTAGGCCCAAAGTGGATAATATAAAATTAATGTGGAAATGTGTGTGCAAATATCTCGATACACTCAAAAAATAAGAGATAACCCTCTTTTTGATAAATATATCTCCCCCAAAAAACAAATACCATAACATAACCCTAACAACTATTAGAGTTGATCTAGTGAATTAAATTAGTTTTGAAAAAAAATCAATCTAATTACTTTTATTTTTAATTTATCATTTAATCGATTAGGTTAAAATTCTAAATTTGATTCAATGGAATTTAAAATTTTTAAATCAAATTAAAATTAAAATTATTTGAAAGAAAATAAAAAATTAAATTAAATGCTATTTAATATTAGAATGAGGCTTGTAATTCAATGAGTGATAATAAGCTTCAAAAATGCCTTCATTTTAAGGTGAAAAAAAAAACTCCTAAATTACTTTCATTACAAAATAATTTCTAAAAATTACATGATAAAAGTTCGAATCTATAACATAGTAGTTAGAAGAAATTGGTTTGCATTAGATATTTCTTACCAATAAAGATTAATTCCCTTGGAAGTACAAATCACCGAAAAAAAAATTTCTCTTTTCTCCACCAAATTTTCCACATTCACATGACTAAGAATCTAGTACATGATAACATACTTAAGAAATCATACTATCCATTGGTATAATATATCAGTAAATGACACACAAAGCATTCCATCCGAATTAAGATTTAAGAAATAGAAAATGTACTTGCCATGATGGCTTAGTCCCATGATACCTCGAAGCCCTTCTATCTCACATTTTTTTTAATCTATTGGAATAGTGTAAGCATATAAATAAAGTTTTACATCATTAGAAAAGAAGGAGAAATATAAGTTATAAAGCACACATATATTATTAGGAATCTTATATTGAGTAAAATATGAAACTCAATATAGTATTTAAACCTTGAGGCTCTCCCACTTAATCGACTAATCTTTTGAAATAGACTCTCTCCTCATGTATTTAAATCCTAATAATTAGTATTTCCATTGAGAGTTTTATAGGTTGAATAATGATGCAAACCGAACACTGATAGGTGAGTGAAGCTTTCAAAGAGAAAAGGACTATTACTAGGTGAGTAAAGCTCTCAAAGAGAAAAAGACTATTACTAGGTTAGTGTCGATAAAGTGAAAGTTCTCATAAATATCAATCCTTAAAGGAGACCAGAATGTTTGAAGTACTGCATTAAATAAAATATGAAGCTCAATGTAATACTTAAATTTGAAAACCCTCTCACTTAATAGATTAATCTTTTGAGTTGGGTTATTCTCATGTGCTTAAGTCCTAACACATACTATGTTTCTCTCAACAAATATCTCTACAAAAATACAAATAAATACAAAGCAACTTATCAAATAGTAGTATTGTTTTAAACTTGTTACCAAGGAGCATAATTTTGCATTTATCACATAATCACTTTGAATTGATGAACACGGTCAGCTATAGTAATATATCAGTGTTAGAGTTCACTACTAAAATGGTTATTACATTAATTGTGTCTATCTCTACCACTAACTTCTACCCCAAAAGGAAGACGAAACTGAAGAAAAAAGTGCTTTTATTGTTGGAGGAAGATAAGTTGGCACAGGCATCATTTCTGGGAGAATAGGTAAAGAAGACTCAAATTTAAGCACCTGAATCACTTGCCTTATGGAAGGCCTGAATGAATAATCTGGATGAACACACCAAAGGCCAACAACCACTAAACGTTCCATTTGTTTTTCATCAAATTCTCCACATAACTTTGGGTCAACTGCTTCAAGGAACCTTCCCAATCCATAGAGGTTCCAAACCCACTCAATCACAGATATCTGTCCCTCCTCGGCTTCTAGTTCAACAGGTTTTCTTCCACTGGCTATCTCCAATAACACCACCCCAAAACTGTATATATCAGATTCCTTAGTAGCCTTTCCTGAAGTGAAATATTCAGGAGCAATATAGCCCCTAGTCCCAGCTATACGTGTGGTTTGTGACCCTTTCTCATGATCCACCAGCCTAGCCAAACCAAAATCACCAAGCTTGGCATTGAAACTTGAATCCAACATAATGTTGCTTGATTTAATGTCCCTATGAATCACACACTGCTCCCACTCTTCTTGTAGGTAAAGCAATGCTGAACCCAAGCCAAGAGCTATGTTATACCTCACTCTCCATGTTAAGAAGCTTTTCACACCGTATAGATGAGAATCTAGGCTTCCATTTGGCATGAACTCATATATGAGGAGAAAGTCATTCTTCCTATGACACCAACCAATAAGTTGTACTAGATTCCTATGCCTCAATTGGCTTATGACCTTCACTTCAGTCACATATTCCTTCATTCCCTGTCTAGACTCTCTTGATATCCTCTTGATAGCAACATAGGACTTTAAGTCCTTCAAATAACCTTTATACACACCACCAAAACCACCTTGCCCCAGCTTCTCTGACTCTGCAAACTTGTTTGTAGCTCTTACTAGTTCATTATAGTCAAACCTCTTAGGTCCAGTGCCCTTTGGGAATTCATCACCCATGCTGAGATCAAAAGCTAACTCTTCTTTTCTCCCTCTAATCTTTTTCCTCAATAAAATACAAACCAGCACTAACAAACTCAAAAGAGTCAAAAACAAGCCTACACCAATTCCAAGCCCCGCCCACAATCCTATCTTGTTTTCCTTTTCAGAAACAGGATTGGAGTTTGGTGGGGCTGCTTTTGGTTTTATCTCATTTATGTTGTCATCACTTTGTAGACTTGAACTAAATGACCATGATCTCAGTGTATGCACCTCATACAATCTTCCTGTTGCGGCTGAGAAACCAAGAATAACCCTCCCTGGTAAGTACTTTCTCAAGTCAACCTTGTATGATATGTATTCTTCAACTTGCTCATCATCACTGTACGCAGTGAATGAAACGCTCAAATTATGAGTGCTTGAATTGTACTCAATGCTGCAATTATAAACACTCCATGTTTGAATATCTGTGAACCATGGCTTAGTTATGTCAGACTTCATAGAGTTGAAATTCAGGCCTACATGAGTGCCACCTGAAGGGTCCCATTGATTGTGGAAGGTGTCAAACTCCACTGCTACAAATGGGTGTTTAGTTGAATTCAACACTTGGTTGCCATCCACAAGGCCAAGACCACCTCCTTCTTTAATGTGCTTCAGAAGTGGAAGATTAGGATCAGCCAGGAAGAATGCCATTCCATCTCCATAATAACTCTTATCTGAAAAAATAACAAAGGAAAATTCAGTAGTGAAATCAGCAAGCTTTCCAGAGTTCGTGTCCCAGAGGAGCATCTGTTTATAACTTGTGACTCTCCCAACACTATAATTGTTGTTTTGGTCCATGGTGTTGGAAGTGACTTGGATGGCTCCTTTTAGAATTGAAGCATCACCTTCCCACTTGACATCACCATTTGTAAAGTAGGGGTGGTTAAATGATAGAGAGTTTGTAAGAGAAATTATTTGGAGGATGAGAATGGTTCCCATCGCATAGCAGAGAAGAAGAGTTGGATTATGATGAAGACTATTATGCCACAAAGCCATCTTAAGTGAGAAATGCTAGTTCAATATCTTGTGTTGGAACACTTTCATAAATGGAAGACTTAACAGTTAACGTTGAAGCTGAGAGATTGAATTTTGTGTTTTTATTATCTGATTATATTTTTCCTTATTTAATTGAATTCCAAACTGTCATGATAACTCTATTTTAGATTTTACATTTGTCTTAATTACAGTATGTTCCGTCACTGCCTACTTGCAATATAGAATGAGCGATAACTACAATATTTTTTGGTAAATAGTGATGGACGTAGTCACTAGCTAAATATTACATACATGATCATAAAATTCTTGTAACCCCGCTAAAAGCCACGTAGATTCCACCCAAGTTTCTGCACCCTATAATTCCAACCTTTTTGTTTTTGGTTTTGTGTCATTTTGGGATTATAGGACGGTCTTCATTCTTCAAAGTTTGTATATGAATCAAATTTGGCTGGTATTTTTGCCATTTGTGAAGTACACCACTTTGAGCCAGATATTACTTAGGGTTGGGGTCTTAATCATATAACCTTTTGTTTTTATGACGTTTACAATATCATCCTTATTCCTTACATGGAACCACATTGTAATTTTTTTAAACAATTTATTTTAAGAAGGTTAATGTAATATATAAAGGATGTTGTTGTAATTTTTTTTAAAATAATAATTAAAGGTTAGTGCAGAGATAAAAAAAAAATTAAAGAATGTGTGTAATTTCAAAGGAAAAACTTAGTTCTTTTTTTCAATAGATGGGATATATTTAAAAATAAGATATTATGCTTACAGTTGATCATCAAATTAAAATTAAACGAATATTGCTATTTAGCTTTTAACCTTATGTGACAGATAAAGCTATTATTGTTATTGTATTGCTATTTAGCCTTTAGGATTTTTGACAACAAAGAACTTGTGTGTCTATCCAAGGTGCTATTTGATCATTTGTCAATTCTCTTGCAGGCCGTGCAAGTCGAAGGGTTATAATGAGGGGACGAAAATTTTGTACTGAAACTAATGAAATAATAATAATGAAAAAAAAAAAGTTAATGAATTCTCAGGAATTGTGAGCATGATAATACAATATTCTCATGTTTGTTATGAATTTTTTTTAAAATTATTCTTAAATATTGTTCATTTTTATGAATGTTTTCTTATCATGTTTCTTGTTTTTTTATTTCTATGTTAAGGGTATAAGAATGTGATGTTCATATTGGAACATTTGAAGTTACATTCTAACACAACTTTCTTTTCTAATTATTTTTCTTTAAATTATTTTAAATCTTAAAAAAATATTCTAAAGAATATTAAAATATAACTAAATATGTTTTCTAAAAATATACAAGAATTTGTCAAAATATTCTTACGGTTGTTGAAAATGTAACACGATATCCTGAAATAAAGGCGGATAAAAAATCATAAGTTTCTGTTCTTGTACTTTTAAAATACTGTATTCAACCTTTATTTCCTAAACCTAAAACTGCAGCGGATGAAAATTATTATTTTAAAGACTTTGGATATTTGAAAAGATGGATTTTAAAATCAAGGATTAAAACCAAAGATGACACATAAACCACTAACCAGGCATGTAATTGGTTGAATAAAAGTATCATCTTCTTGGTGATAAAAATGGTGAAGTGGGTACAGCCCAGCCCATGAAGAGAATAGACTGGACAATGATGTAGGGGCTAATTGCTAAATGCACTCTCCTATAATTGTTAAACGTATTCTCTTTAGTAACTTTTATATTTTTCTCAAAATTATTACCTCCGTTTTTATTTATAAAATTTATTTTAAAATAATTGTTTAATTATTTATATAAGATTTAATTTATATTATTTTATATATTTAATACATTTCATAAACTACTGTAATTTTTTAATGTATTAAAATTTAACATTCTCAAAAAAAAAAACTTCTATAACTAAACAATATCGAATTCTTATGAGTTGTGCATATATTAATTATATTTTTTAAAAATTAATTTTTTTATTTATAAAAAATTACAATAACAATAATAAATTTTAAACTTAAGATTTTGTGAGTAGTATCCTAATCTTCGATCACTAGAAATTTAATGCATGCTTCTGAAGTTTTTATAAACATCAAAAGTTTAATACTTTAAAAAAAGAGTTTCTGAAATGTATTTAATGTATTCTAAAATTAATTTCTTGAACATTTACTCATTTTCAAAAATAGCTTATAAAAAATAGTTTGTGAAAAAGAGTATTTTAAAGAAAATATAAAAATAAATGGAAGGATGTACTTTTAGCAATAAGAGGAAGTGCATTTAACAATTTTCTGACAAAGATACTGGGCTTTAGATCTACCGGTTTGGAATTGAAGAGTATGAATCAATGAATGTACACTTAAAAACTCATCTTAATTTTCTGCTACACATACATTACCTGTCTTTACATATAGAAATACTGTCAATTTTATATGTGACATATTCGGCTTCTCTTTTTATTTCTGAACTAATATATCTTCTACTGTAAAAAAATAAAATTAATGTATCTTCTTTATATATATCTAGATATGTTAGATTATTTAGACATTTTTGTAGGGTTTAGAGTGATCAATTCAACCGACTTAATTACCGCCCTTTACACATGTTTGCATGACTTCGTCTAAGAATTGGAATGGAATTTACAGGTGACCCATTACTGTCATGCATGTGAATTTAAATGAAAATATCATTCTTAAACATAGAGATTTTTTAGTGTTTCAACACTATATACTGCTAAGATTTCAGCATATATATTTAGTAGCATCTCCATTTCTCATAATTTACTTTTCTTAATTAACATTTGAGCCATTAACTTAATTAAGTTGTTATTCAATCTTAATTCAGTGTGAGCAACGCTAACTTCACAAACTATACTGATAAATTAAATATTGATATATAACTTATATTTGATATTACAAATTGCAGAAGGCCCCAAATTCACGATTTGTGCACTTGGAATATATCGATTTTACCAACCTTTAATGGTTAAGAAATTAAAAGAAAGAAGTTTTTATTAAAAAAAAATGTGACATTAATGTTATTAAAATGATTTTATTGTGAATTCCGATAAAAAAAACACTTTTATTTATTAAATCATTATATATAAAGAGGGAGAAAAAAAAATCAAGTTAACTCATGAATATAAATTTTGGTAAATTTTAATAATCTAACAATAATCATTAAGTTAATATCAAAATATTCAAAAATTTAATCAATAAAATTTAATATATATATATATATATATATAGCACTTTTCTATTTTGTGCATTACCCCGAAGTTAATTATAAAACACTGATTGTTTGCACAGGAATTTTTCAATGGACCAATTCAGACGAGTTTTTATATCCTCACCTTTTGCCAATTTAAAGCTGCAAAACAGAGACTAATATATACCCAATCAGGCTATCATATTATACTACAAATCTTTATAATGAGGTGCCCATGAATATAGAAGGAATGAACACATATACTACACATATTTAAGTCACTGCCATGCATAGAAAACTTTCCTGTTATTCTAACTTATGGCCAGGGGAAGTTAAAAACTTGTAAAAATTTGCATTTATATATTGACGGAGGAAGATATATATCTAGAATCGTGGAACAAGATTATACAGACATGAATACTTTGACTAACACGTGCACAAGTTGAGAAACAGTGGGCACAATCACGATTATAGATCTTTATCATGATTTGAGGCATAACATTGGCCATCTAATCAAAACTCTTCACATTTTTTTCATTAAAAAAAAAAAAGTAAACTAATTGAAACTGCAAACTTTAAGTTGCTTTTGTTGGTTCAGAAATATTGTCACGCTTGAAAACCTTAGAAGTCACGCAAATCCTACCGTTTTTGATATTTGAGATTAGCACGCTTTAGGGATAACTGAGCAGTGATTAGAGATATATTAAAGGCCCTAGATTCATGATGACGAAATTTTAACTCTAACTAATCAATTATGAAGAGTCAACAAACCATTCGTGGGTCTACTAGCATATTGAAGTGAAATGCAAGAAAACAATCTAAATCATCAGCTCCCATGAAAATATGTTTCTTGGGACAGTGAAAACTTTTAGATCTACATGAGTTGTTTGTTTATATACTTGAATATTTAAAGAATAATTTAGTTCATTTACATTTCTAATCAACAATTGCTTTTATAAAGATCCAATTTTAATATTTAAATATGTTTTTAATCTTTGTAACTGTGGTTAAATTCTGTTTTAATCTTCTAAATTTGTTATTGGTTTTAATTTTTATAAATTTGAATTTTTAAAACATTATTCTATATATGTATGCCACATCAAAGACCATTTTAAGGTGGTATGCTTAAATATATATCATGTTAATTATTAGTGAGGAACCATAGGAATTATTTTTAAAAATTAAAATTTATGAACACAAACTAAATTTCTTTTATATAAAGGATTATAATTAAATTTTATGATATTTACATGAACTAAAAATATACTTTACTAATGAGTAAAGCTTGGTATTCAAATCAATATAATTGGTTTAAGATGGATAGTGAATAAATCATCAATTTAATCCTAATGTACTACTCTCTTCTTCAATTAGTTTTTGAAGTAATAAAATTATATAAATAATTCTTCAAATATTAAATATCTATCTATTTAGCCCCTAAATTAATATATTTAGCTAATGTTTAAAGATTAATTTGAATGATTTTTTGATACTTGGAGAACTACTTTAACATAATTTATAATACTTTTTTTCTATAGCAACACAAAATTTCTAATACTTAGAGAATTACTTGTGTATTTTTTTTTTACTTTAAAGATAGTTAATTTGAGAGAGTGAAAATGACTTTAATGATGAAATTAATTGTGTACTCATTAGATTATTAAGTTCATCAATAAGTTTAATTAGGCATAACAAATGAATTGATATATAAATTTGTTCTAATTTTAATGAGGAAAATTCGTGATTATTCGAATCCAAGTTCAGATTCTAGTTTTCTCTATACTTGTTAAAGTTA